TGTGTGTGTGTGTGTGTGTGTGTGTGTGTGTGTGTGTGTGTGTGTGTGTGTGTTAGAGAGAGAAAGAGAGAGAAAGGGGATAATAGGTGAGATGGGAACCCGATTCCCAGGTCATCTTAGAGAAGTGAGGACCATGATGGGAAGGTAGGGTCCCCGGAGGGTCTGGGACAGGGAGCCCGGCTGGTGCACAAGTGTGGCACATCTTTTATTCTGCACTTAATGGCTCTATAAGTCTGTTCCTCTCCAGGTCTGCATCTCCTCCCAAAACCCCAAGAACCGAGGGTTCCCGTCCAACAGGGCTTGTCCTGGCCAGGCGGAGCGGGGAGGAGAGGTGTGATAAGACTGCCAGGGCTGCTGCGAGAATCGGCATCCGTCCCCTCCTCCCCCCGGCGTGGAGGGTGCCTTGTCTGATGTGATCGCATCCCTGCTGGTGCTCCTCTCTGCGCTGGCCAGAGTGGACGCTAGTCTTGGGCTCTGCGGGCCCAGCGTGTTTCGTTCTTACTCACCAGCTGAGCTGTGGTTCCCAGTCCCCAGGCTGAGTTGGAGCCGGCCCTCCTCAGCCATCAGACTGTGGTGCTGAGCTGGGGCAGCTGGCCAGACGGGCCCTCCCCTTTGAGTGCTTATCCATTTGAATGAATGGACTCATACCATCCCAGTTTTCAGAGAGATGCTAACAACGTGGAAGGGATGATCTTGGGGCCCCACTCCTCAAACCAAGAGGCTCCTGGACTTTCTTTAAATGTACCCACCTCGTCCCACGGCAGGGGGACTCTGCACACTAGGAGAAATGGGGGTGAGGGAGGGATGGTCCGTCCACGAAGTTCCTGTGACATCGTTCCCCAGAACAGTGGTGCCCAGCGGCCTCACACACAGCCACACCCTCATCGCTCCAGAACTCCAGAATTTCAGAACTCTTCTGCAGGAAAGTTCGCCCTCCAACTTTGTGTCAGCTTCCTTCCTCCTGGGCTCCCCTGCCACGCAAATCTTAGTCTGAATTCCAGACTCTTAATGCAGAGCCTGGGATTGTGGCAAAATATCCACATAAGGGTTTCTGGCCCCTCAATGAGTCAGAGTGGGCTTCCAGGGCTGGAAATTCCAGGTGGAGCCGCAGGACACACAAAGTGTGGCCGAGTTTGGATTCTCGCTGGGGTCCCTGGTGAGGGTGCCCGAGTTGTCGGATCCGGGTGCTGGGAATGTGGGCTGCCTCCTCTCTCAGCATTTAAGACTCATCCCCAGACACGCCTAGCCAGGGCCAGGGGAGAGCAGAATGGAACGCCTGTCTGAAGGTGTCTTAGCCTGGTTCCAGGTGAGCCCTGGACCCTAGCAAATAAGGAGGCAGAATTTACGAAGTTGGAGGCTGGATTTGTCGTTCTAGAGGCTAGGGCATCACCCAGCTTGGGGCTACCCCACCCACTCTTTGCTCTCTCCCCCAGAGGCTGGGAACACCGACATTAAATACGTATTCACGTTTTCTTGCTTCTGGGAAATGTTGCTTGACAACCAGTGCAAATTCTTTACTGTCTCCTAAAAAAGGGCCGCGTTCCTCCTGGGTGGCCCGAGTCATGTCCGTCACTCACTCACTCCCCAGCAGCTGTGAAGTCTTTGTTAACTGCCTTGGTTTGGCTACTTGTGCTAACATCCCCCACCCACCCCCCGTCTCAGGCTGTTCCTGGCCCCGGGAGCAAGACGGTGGATAAACATAGACGGCAAGACCATGGACATCACAGTCAAGGGGCTGAAGCACCCTCACCGCTACGTGCTCGATGCGGCGCAGACCCACATTTACATGCTCATGAAGAAGGTGGGTGGGGTCTGTGCTGAGCACACATGGGGGTCGGGAAGCCCTTCCCTGCCTGGATACCTGGACGGTTCTTTAGATATGGGGAAAAGGGAGCTCATACATGGTTACTGCTTTGCTGGTGTTGGGAATGCAGAATTGTTGCCGCCGTCTTCCTGTCCACGGCTCTGGCCCCTCCTCATGCTCTCAAGCTCTCTGGCCGGGGAGGACCATCTGCAAGGGCTGTGTGTCTTCGTGTGGTTTCTCATCTGCCGTGGGGGTGCAGGCAGTAATGACATTGGTAATGGTAGGATTGCCATAATGGTTGTTCTTGATTAGGGACTTGGAGGTGCAGTCCCTGTGCAAAGTGCAGAACTTTGTACCCAAGGACGACACAGTGGACCCCAGGTCTCTAGAGTCTAAAAGTTTGCCCAAGGTCTCACCAGAAGTGGAGCTGGGGTTTCAACTCGGGTCTACGTGAGTCCAAAGGCCAAGCTTTTAGTCTCTGCTGTAGATCGGTGGTACTTCTGGTGGCCTTGGCCCTAAGCACCTGTAACACAGGGTGGGGGGTGTGAGGATTTAGTATCTGAAAGAGACAGACTAGGTGTGGTTATGGTAAAAGCCTTCGAGAATTCAGATTGCCTTCTGGATTATTAATAAAAAGCAAACATGTTGGAATTTTCAGGGAGTTGCTAAAAAAAGGTAAAGGGAACATGGAAGAGAATCAGTCACTTTCTTAAGAAATTAGAATTTGGGGCTGAGAGGTGGCCTAGGAGAAGCTGTCTGGTTTGGTTGCGAGGGGGTGCCATGCCCAGCAAGACTTCCCTGGGTAGCTTCACGTTCTTGTGATGGTAATTATTTCTTTGATGGTACAACATCTCTAGGAACTTCATTATATGATGTAGGCTTATGTAAGTGACAGACTTTTATTAGCTTCCCTCATTTATGTATTTTTGTTTAGTCTTTTATGTGGGTTATGTTATAAAATTTTTTAAACTTTGCTTTTAAAATATGTAATAGTTTCTGATTATTACCAAGCTAGAACAGCCTTTTTTTTTTTTTCATCATTTGTTTTTCATCAGTGGGGTTTCTCTGTGTTTATCCTACAAGAAAATTCACAGCGGGGCTTCTTTAATAATGAATTTTAAAATGCATTTTGATTCTTAAACATGGAGCTTTCATACAGCCTTGCAGGGAGACCCCCCCCAGGGAGGCCAGCTACTAGCCAGAACAGAACAGAGTTGTGGGTAACTTTAGAAAAGAATACTGTCTATGCCCATTGGGCCTTGTGTCACTGCAGGTAAACTCAACATGACCCGTGTTTCCATAATCCCTACTCCTCTGCTGTCTCCTAGTTCTCCTTGCATTTTTTTCTTTTCTTACTCTTTTTTTTAAATTGAACTATAGTTGATTTACAATATTGTGTTAATTTTAGGTGTACAGTAAAGTGAGTCAGTTTTATGTTCATATATCTGTGTGTGTGTCTGTGAATTCTTTTCCATTATAGAATATTTCAAGATACTGAATATAGTTCCCTGTTCTACATAGTAGGAATTTGTTGTTTATCTATTTGATGTATAGTGGCGTGTATCTATTAATCCCATACTCCTAATTTATCCCTCTGCCCCACTTTTGCCCTTTGGTAACTGTAAGTTTGTTTTCTGTGTCTGTGAATCTGTCTCTGTTTCGTAAATGAGTTCATTTGTATTATTTTTTAGATTCCACATGTGAGTGATATCATATAGTATTTGTCTTTCTCTGTGTGACTTATTTCACTTGGTATGATAATCTTTAGGTCCATCCATGTTGCTGCAAAGGGCAATGCTTCATTCTTTTTTATGGCTGAGTAATATTCCACTGTGTGTGTATATCTATATATCTATATATATCTCCTCTTTATCCAGTCATCTGTCGATGGACATTTAGGTTGCTTCCATGTCTTAGCTATTGTAAATAGAGCTGCTATGAACATTAGGATGCATGTATCTTTTCAACTTAGAGTTTACATCTTTTCCAGATAAATGCCCTGGAGTGGGATTACTGGATCATGTGGTAACTCTATTTTTAGTTTTTTTAAGGGACCTCCATACTACTCTTCATTGTGGCTGCACAAAATTGCATTTCTGCCAACAGTGTAGGAGGGTTCTCTTTTCTCCACACCCTCTCCAGTATTTGTTATCATAGATTATATATAATTACTATATATGGATTATTATATTTCTATACAGATTGTATAGGCTTTTTGATGATGGCCATTCTGACCAGTGTGAGGTGGCACCTCATTGTAGTTTTGATTTGCATTTCTCTGATAATTAGTGATTTGAGCATCTTTTCAGTGTCCGTTGGCCATCTATGTGTCTTCTTTGAAATGCTGTGTATTTAGATCTTCTGCCCATAGTTCTCATAGCTTTTACTACTACAACTTAGTCTTTAGAATGGTGCTGTTTCAATAAATTTAAAAAAAATCTTAATTGGTTGTTGAGAAATTTTCACGTTTGTTTCTGTGGGCTTTGTCCCATATTTGTTGTCACTAGAGTTTCCAGTTGGCTTGGAGGTTGCAGGCATTTAGAAAGCAACTTCTCTGAATCTGACCAGGGTCCTGGGAAATAGACACACAAGTGGAGTCTGAGACTGTTTTGTTTTTTTTGGTTTGGTTTGGTTTTTGTATTTTCTTGCCTTTATGCTCAAATTCAGGGCAGAAGGGGTTGTTTGTGGGCTTGGAGTGGGCGGTGCTGGGCGGGAGAGAGGTTGGGGGCAGGTGCCCTCTGTTTCATGTGCACTTGACTGGAGAAGCCCCGAGATTCTGTGTGGGCGGCTGCAGACCGCGGTTCTCCAGCAGCAAGTGTGGCGCCGTCACCTAGAGGCTTGTTAAGACTCGGCGTATCCCACCGCCAGGGTTTCCGGTTCAGCAGGACTGGGGTGCCTGAGAATGTGCATGGCCAGCAGGTGGCCAGGTGAAATGGATGCTGCTGGCCTGGGGACCACACTAGGGAACCGTTCGTTGCTTGAGACCCACACACTGGAATGCCTTTCACACAAGGATGCAGATTCTCTTAACCTTGCCACCTCACTGCCGAGGGAAGGCTGGAAAACCAGCCAATTTATTCGTTTGATTTGACACTTCCTCTCTCATAATTTCTGTTTTTCCCTTGTTCCCGCTAGGACTCTTACGCTCGCTATTTAAAATCCCCAATCTATAAGGAAATGCTGGCCAAAGCGATTGAGCCTCAGGAAACCACCAAGAAGAGGCAAGTGGAATGGGCTGCAACTGCTCACTGCCTGCTGTTCTGTTTACAGAGAAATGAGGGTCTCCTTCAGCCAAATGGCTATGATCAGGGTACTCGCTGGATGAAAATACTGGGCACTGGGAAGTATTTCTTAGGGTATGATTTGCCTCATTGGCTCCATAATGCCCTGAAATTAGGCTTGCAAGATGTACATAGTAATTACCGCCAGTAAGTTTTGTTTCCCTAATACTAGTTTGAAAGAGTTTTGATTAGCAGATGGGATAGTTACCTTTATCACAAATGAAAGCATCTCACTGAGTTGTTTTTTTGGGGTTTTTTTTTTTGCGGCGAGAGGAGGTAATTAGATTTATTTACTTATTTATTTTCAGTGGAGGTCCTGGGGATTGAACCCAGGACCCTGTGCATGCTAGGCTTGCGCTCTACCACTGAGCTGTACCCTCCCCTCCCCCATTGGCCTTTTAATTGCTGCAATTCGTTTAGCAATGCCCTGATATCCTTGTAATGGCCTAAGACCTTGGAGACTGCACCCCAAGAAAAATGGTGCACTACTACGGGAAGTGAACAGGGACACTTGAAGCATTCTTACTGTGTCCAGGGGGGACTGTCCTTTATCAAGTCCCTCAGTTACTGGGTTCATTCTCATCTTCCTCACCTGAAGAGCCCTCGGGCAAAGGACGAAGTGTTCGGAGGGGGCAGTTTGAACTCTTTTTATTGAAGGAGGGGGAAGAAAACTCTACAGGGACTGAAGATCCAAAAGAGTAACCAACTGACAGCTTGAACAAAGACTTGGGACTTCGGCTGAGGCTTTCCCAGTGCCAGTGCGTGTCCTGTCCGCTCCCCACCTCCGCCCCGTTAGTAGACGTTCCCCTGTTTGCTGGCTCAGCCCACGCTGGGCTCTTTTCCAGCGTCTCCAGTCAATTCAAAAGAGGGGTGGTTGGACCAGAGCCTTTATCAAAGGAGCTTAAAAAAAAAAAAACACCCAACTTGGTTCCATTCTTGAGGATAATGGCCGTGTTATGAAAGGAGAGAAAGGAGGCCTTTGTGGTGCTATTCTTCTAGGTTTACGGGGTAAGGAAGGAGTTGGGGGTCCCTGGGGACTTGAAAGTGTCTTCTTTCAGCCACAAGGAAGGCCCGTAATAGTTCCAGAAGTCCTGCCAGAAAGTAGTGGGGAAAGGAGGGGAGTCTCGTACGTCTCTCTCCAGAGACCTTTTTTGGTTGGCACTGACCTGAGGAATCAGCTGGGGTCTTTTGCGGGGCACCCCGGGCGCTCTGAGAGCCGGGGTGGCACGGGACCGCAGGCGCAGAGCTTGGCTGTGGGGTGGGGTGACGCTGTCACCGCTGCTGGGAGGGAGAGCGCACGTGGAACTGCTTCTGGAACGTGGGATGCTCGGCCTGTGACTCTGCACGGGTGGCAGAGGGTGTGAATTTGTCCCGTGACGCGCAGGCATGAGACGATGTACAAAGCTTACTTTTTCCAGAACAAGTTAGATCTAGACTCAAGCAGGCAGGGCTGGTGGGAGACCCAGTCTCAGGCACGGCTTGCTGATAGGGGAGCCCTCTTCCTCGCTAGGGTAGACACGTAAGTTCCAGGGGCTTATGTGGTCCTGAAATTTGGGGACGTCCTGGGGTTGAAGTCTACCCTTGGGGCTGAGATGCTTATTTTCCAAGCCTGCTCACCATCGCCGGCATCGCCTGGAGCTTTGTCCTGGCCCCCAAGGCCGTGACAGAGAGAGTTTGGTGTCGGGAAGCCATGTTTGGCTTTGGTAGAGGGTTCCGACTTGTCCAGTGCCTGCGCACAGTACCGCCAGCTCACCCACCCTCCCCAGGCCCCTTCCCCTTTTCTGTGCCTGCCCAGCCTAGCTCGTGGGCAGCCCAGCTCTTTCCTTCCTTCCCAGAACCTTGGCTTTTGCAAGCAAATGCTCCAATTCTCCCTTGAGGCAAGAACCCTTGGGCTTCCAGCAGCCAAAGCCTCCTTGTCCCTTTCACGAAGAGCCTCCAGGAAGTTAAGCTGTCACACTGATTTCTAAACACTGTAGAAGGTAGTCTGTGCTCGGTCCCATCTGAGCAGTCTTCCTTGCGCCTAAGCCTGAAATTTGATGGCACCGGGTACTCACTCTGGTCCCATCCTCCCAGAGGGGAGAAAAGAGCTCAGGTCTGAAGGTCCCCCTTGAGGCTCCCCGGGAGGATGAGGGAACAAGTCTAGAGTTTGATCCCCCAGCCCCGGCCTCACCTCCCACCGAGTGGGCTGTACCAGGTCACTGTTGAGCAAGCAAGCATGTGGCTTTCTGCTAATGCCAGGCCTGTCCTTCCTTTCAGCTCGAGCCTCCTGTTCATGCGGCGTCACCTGCGCTCCAGCCCCAGCCCTGTCATCCTCAGGCAGCTGGAAGAGGAGGCCAAGGCTCGAGAAGCAGCCAACACGGTGGACATTACCCAGGTCATGAGCAAGCTGGACCGCAGGAGCCAGCTCAGAAAAGAGCTGCCTCCCAAATAAATCCATACTTGGTCTCCCCGGGGGGTGAGGGCGGGGGCGGGGCATGGGGCGGGGCCAGCAGAGAGAGGCGGAGTCTGGAGGGCTCGTTCCTCTTCTGTGGGGTGGTGGACTAGCCAGGCCACCCTCTGATTCCTCTGACTTCCATTCGCAGGCTTCCTCCTCCCACCACAACCCCCCACAGGGCCTGGTCGCATGGTAGGGGAGGGCCCCGACTCAGTGGCTGTGAGATGGCCTGTCGCACCCTAGGGAGTTCCTGGGGTGAGAACCAGAGAGAATAGGCTGCTTTGTGTACAACCATTGGCTTTGGAAAATTAATGAGAAGGTCTCTCTTCACCTCCAGGGCATAGTTCTTTCAGGCACGTTTGTTTCTAGTAGCTTAATGGTGCTCCTCATCCTGTCTCCCCAGTTCAGACTCTGCTTCTAAAGCAGCCAGGGGTCCCTCCGAGGGGCTGGCTGCAGGCCCCCTCTGCAGCCGCACTTCCCAGGCTCCGCTGTCACACCTGCCTGGGAATTTCTGTTGAGCGTGTTCTTAGTCCCAATAATCGGGGGTTGGTGGCCTCTCTCCTTCCCTCTTGCCTCCCCACCCCGTTTTTACATGATGCTAGGAGAATTCATAGCTTGTAGTAATGAAAGACTCAGGTCACAGGCGTCCAGAGTATTCAAGGTGAAATGGCCTGCTGGGAGCATCTTTTTGGATAAAGGACAAAGGTGCTGATGTCTTCATTCATGGCAGAAGGGATGGTAGAGGTCTGTGACATTTCCAAAATGAATCAGAGTCAAAGATAATACTCTTTGGGATATTGTCTAGATGTGGTGCTTCCTCCTCTGTAGTTTTAGATCAGGCCAGCCTGTGGTCAGGGTGGGTGGGGATGGGGTGGGGGTGGTCAGGACAGTTCCAAATCTGACTTTGGAGGCCTAGAAGGTAATTCTAGAAATTGGGTTTGCCCCTGTATGTCTGTG